TAACATTATGGCCTTAAAATAAAATGAAAAATGTCATTTTAGATAAAATTCTATGTTATTGCATATAGAAGAGAACTTTTCAAGGACTCGAGAGGTTCTTAAGATCCTCTTCCTTAGCATACCAGCTTGGTGCTATCTTTGGAAAACGTGGAGACAAGTCTCTGTATGAATTCCTTATCGTCCCTTCTGCTACTCCCGTCGCAGTCGATATCTCTGCATGCACCCCCAACTATTAATCAGTCTCAGATTTCTTTATAACTCTTTGCTCGGAACAAAAAGAAGGGAATAAGAAAAAACCAAACCTTTGAGAGACTTCTTGTCATCAGAAAGCTGTGTTATTAGATAAAGAATAACTGCTACTACCCTGCAAGATACCAAATCTTTGATGTTCTGTTTTGTGCCTATCTTGGTACCGAATCGGGAAAACAATTGAAACAAACGTACCTTCTATCAATTTCCTCACATTTAAGCACGGCTTCCTTAGCAGCTTTAATTTAACCGCTTGCTGAGACATTCCAAGCTTAGAGCAGTACTTTATCTGAAATATCAGCAAGAAGACCACAGTGATCAATACAAGCCAAACGAAAACTAACAGCATCATATCAAGTAAGAGGCATCCGCAACAAACTCACAATGAAATCACCAGGTTGCATGGTTTCCAATTCCACAGTCTCCAACTCCAGTGTTTTAACTCTACTAGCAACAGAGATTAATTCCTTGATGGTGAACAAGAAATATGTGAGTAGAGAAGAAGAATAGAAATTAAGTTTTAAAACATAGAACACATGGATAACTCTTTACCTCTTCTTTTGGCCTCAACATCAGACTACGCATCCGACGATGCACAGAGACCAAACCGACCAATACCTCCCTTTGATAAGCCATCAGTTCATAGTAGCCCATTCCCTCAAGCTTGTTACCAATCATTATCCTACAAGCATAAAATGAACCACATGTGAAAAAAAAAAAAAGAGAAACTTTGGAGAGTTAAAAAGGTGAGAAACTTACTCGTTCAAAAGCCTCAATCTCTTGACTTCCCTCTTCAAGTATTTGATTTTCTTCTTCATTTGCACCGGTGCTAGCTCTTGTTGTATTTCTTCATCAAAGCGCCGGCGATCTTTCGCCCTCAACCTCAAAAATTTTCTTTTCTTTGAGAACTCCAATTGACGGAGGTAACTATCTTCTTTTTCCTTTATTGGGAAATAATAAGATATGTAAATAGAAGAAGTACAAAAGAAAGAAAACAAAAAAATCAAAACTTGTACCTGCTTGACCAGTTTGTCATCCTCCATCTTTATTATCCTCATCTGCAAAAGTTAAAACAAAGGCTTACACAATTGTTTGAGAAACATTGAGAAGAAACAAAAGTTAAAATCACAAGAAGATGATTTGAAGAGAAAGAACAAACCTGTTGGTCCACATTGAGCCGGCCTTGGCATAACTGACTCTGAAGTGACTTCAACTCGGGAAAACTCAGACGTTTGCAACTCTCACCATGCAATCTCCTGGGAGAAGAAAAAAAAAACAAAACCAATATGAGGAAAAGAAAAACAGACTTTGGTTTCAAGAAGTGGGATCAGAGGTTTGGTAATGAGTCTTACTCGTTCATAATCTGTAATCTATCGCGTTCGCACTTCAGAGTCTCAATCTTTCGCAGCTGCAAGAACATTAGGTTATTGTATTAAAAAAATGTAAGCAAGAAAATTGAAAGAGAAATGGAGAATAACTTCGACGTTTTAACATGTGTGTGTATACTTACCAATGCTTCATTTTGCTGTTCTTGTAGCTTTGGTTCAGAGCTGTATCAATTGCAAACCCAAGACAAGAATTCAGGGTTCTTATTCTTTTGTAAACTAAAAAGCAGCCAAAGGCAGACTAAAACATCAAACCTATCACAGGTTTCCTCAGATCCAGATTTCTAAAATTCCAAGCCCAATAAAAGCTATTACA